AGATACGGCTTGAGCTTTCGGATTGCCCAGACGATTGCCAAGCACTCCTTCTCGGTTGTTGAGTAATTCTTCTCAGCGCCGTTGAGTGCTCGGCTTGAGTAAGAGATTACCTTTTCGCCTCGTTCAGTTTCCTGGGTCAAGATTGCCCCGATGCCGTAGTCGCTTGCGTCAGTTTGCAAGATGAATGGTTTGTCGAAGTCCGGGCATGCCAGTACGGGGTCTGCGACGAGTCTTGCCTTCACCTCTTCGAACGCCGTCTGATGTTCCTGTGTCCACACCCATTTATTGCCCTTGCGTAGCAGATCGTTGAGAGGTTTGACTATTTTTGCGAAGTCAGGTACAAACCGGCGGTACCATGATGCTACGCCCAGGTACTGTCGGAGCTCTCTTACTGTCGATGGTGGTTCTAGTTCGGCGATGGCTGCTACCTTTTCCGGATCCGTGCCTATTCCTTCGCTAGTCACTCGATGACCGAGATATAACAGCTCTTTCTTGAAAAATTGACACTTCTCCGGGTTTAATCTCAGATTTGCCTCCTTTAGTCGTCGGAATACTTCCTTTAGGTTGGCCTTATGTTCTTCCAGCGAGCGCCCGATCACTATGATGTCGTCCTGGTAAGCAAATGCGTGCGGCGACATTTCTGGGCCGATCACCCGGTCCAGCACCCGTTGAAAGGTCGCAGACGCCGAATGAAGTCCGAATGGCATTACTTTCCATTGGAATAAACCTTTCCCCGGCACTGTAAATGCCGTATACTGCCTGCTGTCCGCTTTCAGTGGGATTTGCCAGTACCCATCCTTTAGGTCCAAGCTGCTGATGTACCGTGCTTCCCTCAGTTGGTCGAGAATATAATTTATTCGGGGCATCTGGTAGGCATCCTTTACAGATTTGGCGTTTATTTGCCTAAAGTCGGCGCACAGTCTCCATTTGCCCGTCTTTTTTCTAACCATCACGATGGGAGAACTGTATGGGCTTGTTGAGTGTTCTATGTATCCCATTTGGAGAAGCTCGTCCACCCTCGCATTGATCTCCCCTTGAACTTTCGGATTCTTGGGATAGTATCGCTGCTTTATTGGTTTGTCGTCTTTCATCGTGATCTGATGCTCTGCCATGTTTGATGTTCCCTTCATGCTGCTGAAAGTCGATAGCTCTGACTCCAGGAATCTCGTCGTGTCGTCATCTTCGCTTGCCCGTTGTACGACTGCCACCGACAACTTTTCCTCGAGCCATCCCTTGTGACGATTCCTGGCCGGTATTATCACTTCGTGTCCAGCGCACTTAATTTCGGTACCGACTTGCGTTAGAAAGTTCCATCCCAACACCAATGAATCCACTACTCCTGGTAGTATCAGCAGGCTCATGCTCAGTCGCTTGTTCCCGAACGCGATTTCCACCTCCAGCTGCTCATCGATTCCGCCACATCTTCCGTCTGCCAACCTAACTTGCCGTCGTATCCTCGTAATCTTTCCGAGGGCAGCCAGGTCGTCCGCCAGCTCTTTGCTTATAAAGCTTGCTGTTGCCCCGGTGTCGATTGTGGCCTTGTATGTGCCCCCACCAATCGTCACCGCTGCGGACAACTGCTGCTCCTCCTCGATCAGCTTTCCCGTTAGTTTGGAGAGGTAGCATCTTGCGACCCGCACGCCTCTCTGCGGCTGAGATCGCTGGGCATTTCCCGCCTGCTGGCAGCATTCAACGCTCCTGACGCCTTCTCTCCCGCACACCCAGCAGAACAACAGGCGTTGGTGCCGACATCCCCGCGCCCAGTGTCCATGACCGCCGCACTTTCGGCAGGCCTCCTGGGGGTCTGTGATGTGTGTCGTTTCACGAGGCCTTTGTGTTGTACTTGGTGGCCTCCAAACATTGTTTGCTGGTTGCATCTGTTGCTGTTGTGGTGGTGTCCATTGGCCTCCGCGTGGTGCTCCTGTTGCCTGCTGCCGTGGTACTTGGTTAGGTGGCGACCATTGGTCGTTTCCCCGCGTCTCCTGGATTCCTGTCTCTTCGCATCTTCTGCATGTTACCTGCGCTGGCGATGCCGACTTGTTCTTCGAGAATTTGTTTTCCTGCGCGAACGCTTCCCGCTCCTTTTCGAGTTCTTCATACTCGTCTGCTAATATCATCAGCGTGTCCAGGTCCGACACTTTGTATGCCCTTAGTAAGATCCTTAGACTGGGGGTGCAGTTCTCCTTGATGATTCTTAGGGTCTCTATAGCGGAGTAATTAAGTGGCCTCACCATCGTCTGTATGTCGATCATGTAGTCCTTGAACGACTCGCTGAAGCCTTGCTTCCTTTGCCGGACCTGGTCCGCCAGCCTGGTGAAGAAATCTCTTGGCAGGAAATATGTGTGGAAACTTTCAATGAATTCTGCCCAAGTTCTCCACTGCTTATTGTTGGCGATGAACCATTTCAAAGCCCTTCCTTTTAGCAACTCCGGCATCGCTCGAGGGATCATATCGAGCTCCAAACCGTACGTGTTGGCGGACCATTCTACTTGCTCCAGGAACTCGAATGGTTTTTCCGCCCCGTCGAACCTGAACGACCATTCACGGACCTGTTTAGCGACCTTTGCATAGTCCAACTGGCTTGGTCTCGGGGTTAGCGCTGCTGCTTTCTTTTCTTGGCTTGATTCTCTCCTGTGGGCCTCTTTTTGCATGTTGTCAATGCTCAGGCTTGCCACGAAGTTGTCCCCTTCAGCGTTCGTTAGCGTAATGCTTGGGCCAGCTCTGTCGTAGTATGTTGCCTCCAGCTCGGCCCAGATGTCGACGAGTTGTGGATCATTCTCTGTTTCGGAGTAGTATTCCGATAGTGCCTTCCTCATGTCGTCTAGCCTGCCCTCCAGGGCGACATTGAGCCTCTGTGCGACATGGGCGAAGTCTTCCTTCTTGAGGCGGTAAATCCACTTCTTTCCAATTTTTACTGTGCTGTTCTCACTGTTGGGACAATCACGTTGGGCGCCAGATGTAACGAACTGATTTTTTTATTGTCTGCTCGCTACGAGATTCGTGCGGCTAGCTCAGTATATTTTGTGTTCGTCCCACCAAATTTATATTAACGTGACCGCCCAGTAGCTCAGTGAGAAAGCACAGAATTCACGGGTTCGTATTGGGTTTTATTGCGGGTATATTATTACAAGTGTCTTAGCCGCTTGGTTGGCTTTGACTCGTTGCTTGTGACCTTCGGTGCTTCCGACGGTCCTGGATGACTCTACGACCTCTCGCCTTGATGACTCGGTGCTCCAGTCCTGTAGCTCCCTGAAGATACTCGCAGCTCCCTGAAGATCCTCGCCGCTCCCTGAAGATCCTCGCAGCTCCCTGAAGATGCTCGCTCGCGGTTCACTTCTCACACGTGACTTGGTGACTGCTGGTAACGACTCGGACTCGCGAGGGGTATCGGCCGTACGGGCTTAGGGAAGCGTCACCGTTCTCAGACTAGGGTGAACAGAAGCTGCGCTCTCCAGGATCGCTCCTTTCGACACACCGCCGCCTGTCCCTTGCTCTGTCCCGGATGGTCCCACTGGGTTTCTGCTCAGCCCGCGCGGACAGTCAAGGCGGAACGTCAGGAAGCTGCCTCGCGCCTTATTTCGCTTCCACGCCTAGTGTAAACGAACGTTCCACCCTAGCCTCACCCTTTTGCCTTTTGTCCGGGACGTTTCCGTGTGGCTTTTGGTACTCGGGGTTCGGGCACGCCGCTCCGGGACCTCGCAAGTCGAATCCGTAGGGCTCTCCTGGATAATTCCACTCGAGACCGTACCGATCGACCGCTCTCCCTTCTGGCTTGTTATACTCGTGGTTCGGGCACGCCGCTCCGGGACCTCGCAAGTCGAATCCGTAGGGCTCTCCTGGACAATTCCACTCGAGACCTTACCGATCGACCGCTCTCCCTTCTGGCTTGTTATACTCTTTCCAGGCGTAACGCCAGGACTTTGTGGACAGGGTTAATCGACCGCCTTGACCTAGCCGTGTGATGCCCTCTGGATCTCAGCTACCTGCGTCTCAATTCGGAGATTCCTGGTATCCCAATCCCGAACGTCTCGACGTAGCAATCTCGCTCCTTGTAGGCTCCCACGGCGCTGCTTCTCTGGCGACTCGACTTGCTGCTGCTCCCTTGTAGATTATCTGGTTGTTTGATTGTTCACTTTGGTATCTGAGTGATCTTGACGGTTTGACTCCTTGTGATCGACTGATCCAGCTGCCAGCGCTCTGCGGCCTTATATAGGGCCTCCGGGAACCGTTATTTCCCTTTTGCGCACGGCCCGCTGGATCTCTCCACTCTGGGTCCAAAGTCCGAGCCTCCTGGATGACCCACTTGTCGTTCCCGTACCGCTTCCAAACGATGCTCCGCCCACTGCTGCCATCCCGCTGATTCCCGTGATGCTTGTGGCACGCCTGTGTGCCGCTCCACCGCCGAGATGTGGCACTTCCTCTCCCGGCCAAAAGTTCACGGGAGAGTCCAAAGTCCGGTGGAGTTCCGTTACCCGCTTTTGCACACGGCACTCTTGCCTTGCTCTCTCTCGCTCTCCTTCATTGGTCTCCAAACTCTCTCGCTCTCCTTCCTTGGTCTCCAAGCTCTCTCGCTCTCCTCGCCGCGCCGTTAGTACGCGAATTCACCGCGTATCTGGCAAGCGGCCGGCCATCTGCTGCTGTTTCTATTTGTGGGGAGTTATTCAACTCCTCACAAAAGTAAATTGGATGCTATTAGCAAACACAAATTTTCTATGAACATATGTATGTATGCTGGTATAGCTACACAGAGAGAATTATTCAAGTATTTTGCACTAAAATGAAGAATTTTTTAAATCAAAAATTTAGCTTTAACAAAAATGTTTACTTCGAGTGGAAAATACTCACTTTCCGTACAAAATGTCTCAAAAAGTATGTACTTAGCTTGTCAACATTTGTGCTCTTACTTTTAATTTATTATGTTTTTAATTTTATTATGTAATACAGTTACATATATTCCTACATAATATTTTTTATTTATGTTTGTGTTCCATGTTCTAGGTTGTGACTTTTTTTCCTAGCTGCCTGGTCTAGCGAAGGGCAAAGAGGCTGAAAAGAAACAGTTATTGTTAGCAAATATTGTAAGTATATATGGAAAGATAAGCATTAAACAATAAAATTAGAGTGATATTAAATGTACATTTGAAAGCAATTTGAAAATTATATGTGTATGTATGTATGTACAATGTACCAAACTAGACACGTGGGATAAACTTCCGTTTAGCTCCAGACTTTGTTCGAACTTTCCATATCGACATGTTTTTGGGTCCTGATTATGGGAAAAATAGTAAAAGTTGGCGTAAATAACGGGATCGGAAAATAACGGTGAAAACCGTAAAATTATTGATTTTTTGCTGCTTTTTCCGAAAATATAACGAAAATCATAAAATGTTTCAGACAAAAACAAAAATATTTATAAAACTGATCTTTTTTGTTATAATTATTTTTTGCAAAAACTTAATGAATTTCGAAAAAAACCTTAAATAAATATTTTAGATAGGAGGGGAACATTTAAAAAATTTTGCTATATCCCGCCATAAAAATGGCCTCAGATTGAGTAGATTAATGGATAACAGCATTTTAGGTGATGGACCTTTTTCGATTTTTATTACGATATATCCTTTTTCCCAAATTACAAAATAAAATCAGGTACACACATACTAACCGAAGATAGTACTATGACCCGTGAAAGTAAAACGCCGCAGGCAAACAATTTTGCTTACGACATTAGAAATGCTTTTTATATAAATTTTTATAATACATTTTTTCGCGTTAAAATTTGAATTTGAATTTGATTTTTTAACTTTATTTTTAAGTACGACAACTGAAATGCTTTTGCCAACATTTAAATTTTGCTTATACTTTTCATTTAGACTTTATTATTTTAATTTCGTGTTCTTAAAAATGTTAATACCGTTCTTGTGTTTTGGTTTGTTTGGATGTGTTTGGATATAACAACAAGCTTTCGGGCGATATATCGGGCAAAATGACGCAAGTGCGTTTCAACGGTTTCTTATTTTCAAACCTTGTGAAAATATAATCTTATTAAGCGTTTTTAACGAAAACTATTAGTTTTACGGAATAAATGTATAAAACATAAATTACTGAATTCTTTAATAGCTTTCATTTTTCCCTGGCAAACTTTTTGGTTAAGTATATATATTTGAAGATATTCACAAAAAACAGTTTTTACAGTTATTTTCCATGATCCCGTTATTTGCGACAACTTTGACTATTTTTCCCGTAATAAGGATCTTGAAAGTTTGGACGAAATCAGGCGTTGAAGCTAAACGGAAGTTCACCCGACACGTGCTTCACGCCACTTACAATCACACATACATATTGATATACACGCCTTGGCAACATTTTTGCAGTGTTTGTTTATTGTATTATTATTTAGCACATTATAAATACAGTTCAAATTAAAAAACTCTTCCTCGAGGTACGTTAGATTCGCACGAATGTCTGATTCACAAAAATGGTTTTTAGCTATGTGTTAAGCGCACGTCTTGACTTTGCTAAATCACACGGCAAATGACAGTCACACAAATGCGGCGCGCACCACTTTACACACCCAATAGTGAGAAAGAGACAAACATATACGCAAAGAACTAAAGGCAGCTCATTTCCCGTCTCGTTTGCTTAAGTGATTTAATAGAAGTAATCTAGATCTCATTATGAGACTATTCAATTCTTTTTTGAGTTATTCATTACTCAATATGTGATTCTTTTTCTTAAGTTGGAAATTGAATAGAACATTTCCTCAAAATGAGAATTTTGTAATCAATTTATGTTTTTTTTTCCTAAAAAGAGTCCATTATTTCTCAATACGACTTTTTTCCCAAATGTTGTAGTTAAATTCAGTACATCCTCAAATTGTAACTGCGCAATTTGCATTCAGATTAATTTTAATCGTTGTCGTTGATTTAAAAAAAAAATATAACTTTTATTTTAAAATTTTATTTTATTGGTGATTGACCTTAATTCACAAACTCACTATTACATCAACACATATATATTTTTATACCCGTTACTCGTAGAGTAAAAGGGTATACTAGATTCGTCGGAAAGTATGAAACCGGCAGAAGGAAGCGTTTCCGACCCCATAAAGTACATATATTCTTGATTAGGATCTATCTAGCCATGTCCGTCTGTCCGTCTGTCTGTCCGGATGAACGCTGAGATCTCGGAAACTATAAGAGCTAGGCTATTGAGATTTGGCGTGCAGATTCCTGAGCTTCTTACGCAGCAGAGTGCTACGCCCACTCTAACGCCCACAAACCGCTTAAAACTGTGACTCCTACAGTTTTGATGCTAAAATAAAAATTTTAACTGAAATGTATTGTTCTCATCAATTCCTATCGATTGACCTAAAAAAAATTTGTCACGCCCACTATAACGCCCACAAACTGCCCAACTCTGTGAAGCCCACAATTTTCATGCTAGATAAAAAATCTTAACTGAAATGTATTGGTCTCGTCAATACCTATCGATTGATCCAAAGTTATTAATTTGCCGCGCCCACTCTAACGCCCATAACGCTTAAAACTGTCTACCGCCGGTAGGTGGCGCATTTTAATCTCGCTTTGCTGCTTGCATATCTCCATTTAGCTGAGTAACGGGTATCTGATAGTCGAGGTTCTCGACTATAGCGTTCTTCCTTGTTTATTAATAAGGTATGACCGATCGTGGCTTCAATCCGAAATATACAGACTTCTTAGTTCTAAACGAACCTCGGCCAGAAGCTTTTCTTTCTCAAGTTTATTGGTTTATTTATGTTAGCAGAACGGTCAAGCGCGGCCCACGAAGTTAATGGAAAAAGCAAAGCATAGCATAATTTTAAGCAAAGGTAAAGGCAATGTCGCTGAAGGCAAGGGCAATATAGCTGAGATTGAATTAAAAAATTTGTTTAAAAGTTCCATAAGTGGAACCGATTCACGGGTTGGATTACTTGCGCGCACAGTGATACACAACATAACCACAAGTGTATACATGCGCAATATATATAATTTTACAAATGTAATATATTGTGATTGTTATTCGCAGCCATCTTAAGCACGACATAAATGTAAAGGTTACATGTTTGTATAGTATTAATAAAAATCGTTTCTTGCTTTAGGTGCTGGGGTTTCTTAAGAGTGCCTTCAATATATAAATAATGATTAAATTAAAGAGGTCATCACACCGATTGGGCCCCGTGTGCTTTTTAGGGTCAGGTTGACGGAGTATCAGAAATCCAGGTAAGAAATATAGATATTTAAAGTTAAATTTGTATCTTTAAAATATTCTTACAGTCTCAAGTGCCGACTCCAGTGCCAGTTAGGAAAAAAAAATTAAACACATTTTTAAATGAAACGACCAATAATGTGCTGAAAAAGGTAATCTCATCTTATTCAAATTAACTTTTTCCGAGAACCAATTATTTAATATTAGCTAACAAAAAATTTCATATTTTTCATAGAACTTGCTTTTCGTACTGCAATCAGCTGAAGTTGGCCGCGGTTTACTAAACAATAAAGTGTTGACGGAAAATCAAAGGAATTCCATAATTAACATCATTATAGAAGAAATTTTACAAAACAATATTTTTGTTCAAGCCGCAGAATTTTGTAATTCGTTGGACGAGCTCATTAACATTTTTCCTTGCGAAGCGCAAAGCCAGGTTATACTTAAACCATAATCAAAAATGATGTTAATGTAATAGTAATTTAGACGGTTTATTTGTTGTTTTATATTGTTTTAAATGATTTTTATTTCCTGGTTCTTCACATGCGTGTGTTCTTGAACAGATCCGACGAAAAGTGTGTTTTTTTTGTCCGCGTTTCAAGATTGCCACACATTTTTTTACGTTCTGCGTTGCCAGATCGCATACTTAAATGTAGTATTTTAATACTGTACATAGTTTTACAATAAATACTTAATCTATCTTGTTTATATGTTTATCTTATAATCTAATTTTAAATATTGGTTGTTGTTTAAGATATTAACAAAGAATTATCTTACATTAACTTTATTTTTAAACATTCTGCTTTTGTCTTAAGGACTATTATATTGAAACTTTGTTACGCCCTTCCGCCATGATAAAAATTTAATTATGATATTATAAATTTATAAATTTAAATAGCTTCTGGGAGCGAGATCGATGCGATGTTGAATCCAAGAACGGTTCTTCTCGAAATCGAGATCGATGCAATGTTGAAACCAAGAACGATTCATACTGAAATCAAGACCGATTCGATGTTGAAACCAAGAACGGTTCTTCTTGAAGTCGAGATAGATGCGGTGTTGAAACCGAGAACGACTTATACCGAAAACATGATTGAAGCGATGTTGAATCCGAGAACGGCTCTTGTCGAAATCGAGATCGACCATTCTCAAAAGCCCGTTCGCAAACCAAGAAGGACTTTTAGTATTAATCTCACTTTTGAGATCGAAAATACTTTTTTCTCTGAGTGTAGGTGGCTGTGCGCTATGGACGCAACTCGATTGAGCGAAGTCCGGGCTGCCGACGGCTTCGTGCTTGGGAATAGACGGGGTGTGGGTATACAGCTGCTACCTGGCCTCAAGCCATCCCCTCGTCATTAATTGAACTCACGAATCGCGAGTAGCGAACTTGCACGTCAAGCCTGATGTAGGATTATCGACATCGAAACAATAAGCGACCACGAGACCATCCAGGTCTTATTCGGAGAGGAAACCAGGCTCATGCCCACTCCGACTTTAGCAAGGAAGGCTTATCGCCAGGAAACCTTCAGTGCTCCAGCCTTTGCGATTGCGCTGGAAGACCTGAACCTAAACGGGGTGGATAGCGCCAATGAAGGATCAAGTAATCTGGCAGCCGACGTCGAGAATACCTGCGATAAAAGCATACAGCAGCGGAAAAGGTATCGGAAGCACAACGAACCTGTTTTTTGTGGAACGAGGATATAGTTATCCTTCGCGCTAGATATTTTCAAGCAAGAAGTCAAGTCCAAAGAGCTCGTCACTTTCCGAGACTCAAGGGCAGGTTCAGGACTGACAGGTAGGCCTTCAAGAAGGCGATCAGGGACAGCAAAAGAGAGTGCTTTCTTAAGCTGTGCGACGAAGCGGAAAACGACCCGCGGGGCGGGGCCTACCGAACGGTGGTAAAAGGCGTTAGTGCTTGCAATAATGTGACCACGGAACAGGAGGCTCTGGAAGGCATAGTGAGGGTTCTGCTCTCAAGGGGTCAACCATTGACCATCTCCTGGACAACGGTGCTCGACGGAGGTGATTTTCGCCAAGTCACAGACTATGAAGTCATCGAAGGGAAGAGAAGCCTAGACAGTAAAAATGCGCGAGCCGGATCCTACAACTATATCCCACTGTTCCCATTAGAATGATCAAAAAAATACTTTTTAAAAAATAAAAAACATATAACTTCAGTTTTTTTGACCTATTAACTTCTTCTCTTGGGTAAATCATTCTTTTAATATTTTACAGTTTTCAATAAAATGTAAAACAAATTGGACGACTTTGTCACACAGGTGCTTATAAATATCAAAGAAATATACCTCTACGGGAAAAGAATCTTCGGCGTGAAATGAATTTTGTTTGAAACTTATTTTGCGATTGGCAACTATATGATCTATGATCAATAAATACAAGTACACAGAACAAATAAAGACAGGACAAAACATTGATCAACAAAACTGAAGCAAATGAGTTAAGATTATAGTTTTTAAAACAGGGATAGAAGTTTAGGAACAAATTAAATGATATAGGGTGTTATAATTATTAGAAAGTACGCGAAAAGGCTCGTGCTGACTAAAATTAGATATCCATCTTGGCAAGTTAATGGGATAGTAGGTTGGCGTTAGTGTTTCAAGAACATTAAAGGTTTGGCGACTTACCAAATCTACGGAATCTATATCGCATCTGATAAGATTATGCGTAAAAAAAAAACCAAGCATAATTCTACGATTTACTAGAGTAATCTACTCGAGTAAGAAAGCAACCTTACGTTTTGATCCCAATTCAAACCACTTAAGGCAAAAAGAAGAAATTGTTTCTGTACGGACTCTATACGGTCAATGTGCACTTGATACTGTGGACTCCAAACAAATACGGAAAAGGGAGGTAAATAATAATTTTGTAGTGTATGGATCATCAAATTCTTTAGACCAAAGCTTTATAAACCCAAGAACACTAATAGCTTTATTTACAGTACACGTTATGTGGGAGTCAAATTTAAGTTTTGTATCCAGGAAAATATTTAAGTCGTTAACTAAAAATACTCGGTCCAGGGACCTATTCTGAAGAGAATTACTCATAAACGTTGGGGTAACCGTATAGAAAGTCATAACGTTGCATTTAAGATAGTTTAAATTTAAAGGATTTTACTTACCCCGTTCCTGGAATCTATTAATACTGCAAGCAGAAACCAGACTCATTGCTATCATATGATATAGAAAGCTTAACATCATCAGCATTCATTAGTACATGAAAGTGAGTTACAATAAAGGGAAGATCATTTATAAACAAAGTAAACAGCAAAGGGCCTAAATGACTATCATGAGGCACTCCAGATGTCACGCAGATCAACTTGGAAACAGCGTTTTTAAATAGTTCTTAGCTCTACCATTTAAATAACTTGAAATCTAAGTTAACAGATTATTCGGAAACTTGAACAGTCTAATTTGAATAAAAGAAGGGAATTGTTTACAGAGATAAAGACCTTACGAAATGTTTATTTTCAAATCGAATTATCCATCAAAAAGTTGCACGGGGTGTGCAACCTTGAGAAAAGTCGCTTCGCTGTATCAAATCTTATACTAACAACCTAACTAACAGTCATATGACTGGTATTGAGGTAAGGGGCCCCGAAAGTTGTTGCGTTGTAGGCGTGATCTGCTGGAAGTCCAAGTCAAGCCTCTTGACGCGCAGAGAGTTTTTCATTGTAGGACGCTTTTTGTTTGTCTATTTCATCTTTTACGGTAGGATTTTTGATTGAGCGCGCTGATTAATGTCTATGTTGCTGCTGCTCGCGCATGTCTCGGGCATGTTTGCCTGTTCAGAGTAAACGTTATGTGTTTACATTTTTGTTCATTTATTTTAATTCGCCAATCTCTACGACGAGAAGGTTATTGGCTAGCTGTGCTGTCGCTCGGCCTGGGCACATCGAGCGACTTAAATGTTGTTAGCTGCTCGTTCGTAGGGATATCCGCTGTGTATAGGAGGAACCGTGTAGACCCTAGTGCGCTTGCGGGACTCCAGTTTCGATAACGTAGTCATCAGATGTTGTTGTGTTGCACCTTACTGCGAAGACTCTGTTGTAGAGATACGACTCAAGTAGCTTGTGAGTGTATTCAGGCAAGTGTGTTTTGATTTTGAGCATGAGGCCATCGAGCCATACTCGATCGAAGGCTTGAGATACATTGAGGAATATTGCGCTGCACTATTCCCGATGCTCAAGGGCTGTGCGTATTTCTGATGTTATTCTGTTAACTTGTTCGATTTTTTCATGGTTTGGCGGAACCCAAATTGATGAGCAGGGCTAACATTGTGTGCACTTAAAATAAAATAAACTTAAACTGTGTAGTCTTTTCCGGGCTTCGGTATCATTATGATAATAGATTTTTTCCATTTTCTCAGATAACAGCCAAGACTTATGATCCCATTGAAGAGCTTACAAATAACCTAAATGCACAGTTTGGAAGTTCAATTATCATTTTTAGGGGTAATTAGGTTAGGGGTAATTTTCACGATCTACCAACAATGTTGGTAGGGAAATAGTTTCAGATACTATTTGTGGTAGGACAAATAAAGCCGTAGCAGGGTTCGGCTGAAAGATGCTTCGGATATGTGGTGCAAAACTTTCGGCTCTATCTTCGTCGCTGCGGACCTAGCTGCCTGATGAATTTCTTATCGAAGTGACTGTTTCGAGCTCAGACTTGTGTGAGCCCTCCATAGAAGACGTTTTGTAATGGTTGGGGAAAGTTTTTAAATGCTTTTCTGCATCTTGCTTTAGTGCTGGGTTTAGTGTGCGAGTGGCTTCCTTAAGACGTTGTTTAGTTGACGGCGATCTGCTTGCCAGGCACGTCGTTGACGCCTCTTTTCTAGGACAAGCCGTTTAATTTGCAGATTAGTTTTAAAGTGGTTGGTTTCCACGTCCCTTCCCTGTGATGTTGAGATAGTGGCTGCCTCCACGACTACATCTTCAAGAGCATCGGTAGAGCAGTCGATGTCCGCTTCGATGTTGAACTGAAGGGTTAACTTGATGTGTGAAGTTACATACTTTTTATATCTTAAGCAGTTGGTTCTGTGCGACGTCAGCCTGTGGGGGTGAAGGTAGTTATTGGGCTTTGAAGAAAAGTTATCAGCACTGTCAAGTGGTCTGATGAGAGGTCCGAAATCGCTTCGGCGCTTATTATATTGCGTGGAGTTTTTTTTGTCACCAAAAAGTCTATTAAGTCTTGGGGTCTGTTAGCCAGTATGTGGGGCTAGTCTAATTTGTTGATTGGTTTTATGATTGCATTATATAATTGCCTTATTTTGGGAGTCACGAGGCGTGAACCCCAGTGCGTGTGTTTGGCATTATAGTCCCCTGCAGCTATAAAACGATATCCAAGTAATTTGTAAAGGTCCATGAAATGTCCTACAGAAATTGTAAAGCGAGCCGGGCAGTAAACAACGGTTATGGAGAGGTTTCCGTTACCTGATTGCACTTTCAAAGACTTGGCCTGCAATTAAAGTGAAAGTTGTGCTTGATGCGTTCCCTGATTAAGATGCCGGATTCGCCGTGATATTTACCATCTGGATGATCTGCGTGGTAGAAAGTGTAGCCTCTTATTTGGAAGTTGTATTTGCTTGTGAGGTGCGTCTCTACCATTAGCATAATGTCGAT